TGTCCCACAGGGGCTGCAGCAGTGGGCAGGGGCACAGTGCCAGCCCCACACTCGGGCCATCGGGGACTGGGGCTTCAGGGCCGTCCTTACCAGGCACTCGCCAAATTTTAATGGCTGCTCTGTCTTCAGCAGCTGCTCGAGATCCTTCCTCTTCAGAAACCAGGCTGCACGAAGAAGCGCTTTCTGAGAGGCCTGCAGAGCAACAGGGAGCAGGACATGACACCACAGCCCAGGGCACAGGACCCGTGTCCCTGGACCAAGGCCAGAAGGAGGCTGGAGCTTGGGAGGTGCCAGGGCAGGAGGCAGCCCAGGCCCTTCCCATGGAGACTCCAGAGCCCACAAGTGCTCACTTCTGCCACTTGCTGGTTCTCATTATGCCATTGGAAAAAAAGTGGGAGCAGGCTCTGGATCACATGTTTCTTCAAGGATGGTTTTCCCTCATCCACTACCAGCTCCATCACCTTTCGGAAGAGGTGAATGGAGAGCAGTTGCACACGGATGTTGTCCTGATGCAAAGGAAGAAGAAAAGGCCTTAGCACTGGGTGTTCCAGGCCCACCGGGGCACAGGCCTGCACATGCACAGGCCACAGTTTCCTGACAGCCCCCAGGGCCTGTGGTGGGGCGCACAGAGCCTTACATCGCTAAAGAGTGTCTGGACTGCCTCAGCCAGTTGCAGGGCAGTGGGGGTGTAGATTAGGACATCTCTGTCCTCAACTTCATTAATGAATACAGAGAGGGCCATCCCGACCAGCTCTCTGTCTGCATCCAATAGTACATCCATGAGGATTTTCGTCAGGGTCCGCATGCCATCAGCCTGTGAGGAACACAATGCTGTGCTGTGAAGTCAGGAATGGTGGAATCCTAGAACATCCCCAGTTGGAAGAGACCCACAAGGGTCATCGAGTCCAACTTCTGTCCCTGCACAGGAATCCCAACACAAGGCTGTGCTGTGAAGCCAGGAACGGCTGCAGAGCCAACCCCGCTCGGGTGGGGCAGCCCCAGGTGCTGCCACGGGGCCCGGAGGCCAAAGGCCTGTCCCGAGGGACTGGGGCAGCTGAGCAGGGAGGCAGCAGAGCTGGGAGCAGCTGCCACAGCTCCCAAAGCCCAGCCCAGCCCAAGTGACTGCATTGCCCAGCCCCACGCTGCCCACACGGCTTCAGTCCCTGCCCCCTGCTCACCATTGCACGATCTTTGCTCAGCACCACAAGAGCTCTGAGTGCCAGGCGACGCCTCTCTGGGCACTCGCTCTGAAGGTGCCTTGAAGCAATCTCCAGGACTCTGTCACCGCATTCTCTCAAGTCCAGGCAGTCGAGGACCTGCAAGGCACGCAGCAGTGACGGGGTGCCCGGCCGGCAGGAGCCCGGACCCGCACAGGGCTGTGCCCAGGCAGCAGCTGCGGCTGCCAGAGGGCTGAGAGGTGGAGGCAGCTCGGCCAGGCAGCGCTCACCAGCAGGCTCACCTCCACAAGGAAGGCCATGGCGGGAACCTCCCAGCAGGGCTTGTCCCTGCTGAGAAGCCCCAGTAGGCAGAGGGCAATCCAGGAACATAACGGGACTGAAACACGGCGCATCTCCCTGGCAGGGGAAAACAGGCACCATCAACCCTGAGCTGGGTGGGCCAACCTCTGCTGGGGCT